TATTGAAATTATTTTTTTTAAAGTATTATTTTATTATCTTATTGGAATTTCTTATATTTTACACTAACCCAAGTAGAGACTGATATTATTAATTAATTTATAATAATTATTAATTTATAGAAGTTATACTGTAGATAGCTAAATCAATTAAAAACGAAATATCTATAGACTATAAATTTTATCCGAGAAACTCCAATTAAAAACTTAATCTTAAAAAAAAAAACTAAACTCAAAAACTCAAACAAGGTAGTAATAAAACCCATAAAACCGAATCTTGCCAATTATAAGATATTAAATTTATTAGAACAAACACCAAAAAAAAAAAAAAACCCTAACTCACAAAAGAAAACTACGATTTTCTAGTCCTCTCATGATATTGGTCAAGAACGTCGGACATATCGAAAAGGAAAGATATGAAAATTTCTCTTTTTTTCTCTCTAATGGCTAAGGTTTTTGAAGATGAACGACTGTGATTGATATATTGATTGAAATTAACTTTAATTGTATCTTTTGATTTTGATATCTGTTTCTTTTTGTTTAAGTAAACTTTTGATATCTGATTTTGTTGTCTGAACTACAAACAAATAACTAATCATAAAATCTTATGTATGCCATATCTCGCTTCAATAGCCTCACAAATTTGAATAATTAAAGTTGATCAAACCCTAAATACACAAAACATTTGATCCAGGTTTTTAACACCCAGTTAATCCCTAGAGTAAGTGTAGCTGTTAAGTAGCCTAATCACCAGATTTTCTAATGGATCTAAAACATAATATTATTTCAACAAGCCAAATAAAAATAATTTAAATAATCTCATGTTTTAGAAGAATCAATCCCTAACCTAAACTAACAAGGCAACAAACCTCAAGTGAAAATCAACTACTACTTGATTCACAAAAATGTTTATTTGAATGGTATGTAGCTTTTCCATGTTTTCACTTTTTGAAAACGTGATTCCACTAAATGCATATTATTCATAATATTAAGCACTGAATGATAAAAAGTAAAAGTCAACATGCTATTTTCAATTCATCCCGCACGTTTCAAATTTATAACTAGTTTAGAGAAAAATATGTTCATTTAATTGATACTAGCTTTTTAGTGTTTTGAGTTTATTCAGTTTTCAGTTTACCATTTTTATTAATTCTACTAGTTTATTATTCAACTACTATTAAGCTGACATGCCGGTCAAATCTTAAAAAAAGATTCTAATCTAATTGGTGGACCCAAGAAAAACCAAGTTAGTGAAACTATTAACAAATCAGTAACTAATAAGAAATTAAATTCAAAATTCCGAAATGGTACTCCCTCTATTTTAGAAAAAAAAACATCTTTCTAGCCATCACACTAATTACAACATAATTCTAGCCATGCTCATTGAGAAAAAAAATCCTAGTTACAATTATAAAACATCACAGTTGACAAAAACAAATCCACAATCTTCAATTTTATTTATGAGATATTGGATAACACAATTAAGATCATAACAATCTCTTCATCATTATTATTTTTATACACTGAAACACAAACAAATACGCTTACATATATATACTTTAGTAGTTATTTATTAGAGTACACACAATTTCTTGAAACAAATTGAAACTAACCGATGATGGGAATTTGAACAACGATTCCACAATCGTTGACCCAAACATAAACACGATCGCAAATAAAGATCTCAAGAACGGCAGTTCCTTCCAAAATGATAACAGCTCTCATTTTGGGATTCTCTCTTTCGATCACTTCTTTTGCATATTCTCCTTTTGTCTCCATTAATTCTGGCCATGACCTTTTTCCTGGATCTGTTTATAATTGATTTAACATAGTATTATCGGATCAAAGTTTCAAGATTAACCATAACGTCCCACTTTTAAATTGGAATTATAACACTCAAAGTATTTACTGTAGCTTTGGTTTGCAATTGATTCTTTTGCCCTTTTTTGTTATAATTTATAAGCATCTGTGGGTTACTAATAAGAAACTAGATACCGGGTTTTCAAATAAAAAAGATAAGGATCATAGCTAAATAAACAATTTGGTTTGGTTTAATTCAAGTTAATTGATTTTTTCTGTTCAAGATTTGAAAACTCATTATGAATCCCACCATGGGAACCCAAATTAACAGAAAAAGAAAGAGATATGAACTAGTCCATTAACAAAACAAATAAAACAGAGATAAGAACTAGTCTATTTTTGGCAATCTTTTTAATCTAAAAGCTTTACGTTTGAATTGATATAATGGGTCTGACTGGTATGTCAGATGAATAACAGAATAACGGAATAACTGAAAAATTATTAGCGGAATGAACTGAACTGGATAATATTTTAGCTGAATAATTGTGAAACGCTGAAAAGCTACTTTTAATAAATTAATCACGTTTTGTTTTTTTAGTTATATTTTTAACACGCTAGCGGAATCACGTTTCAAAAACATGAAAACGTGAAAATGTGATGAATACTATGAATGGTAAAAAATAACAGAATCAAGTTTCCAAAACGTGAAAACTTGAAAAAGCTGCATACCATTCAAACCCAATATGTATACTTATATATATAAATACCTTCTCATATGCTTGCCATCTTTTCTTGAGTAAATGTATCGATCTAGATTTATGTGATTTTAGTTTGTATATATTGGGTTCTTCTCCTGATCATAACAAGCATGGTATTTATAGAGTTTGTAGATTCTGACTTCTGAATATAAGTAGATGGGTTGTTCATTATTGACTTTACAAGCTATTTTAATCATAATATAAAGTCTTAAACGCCACCCCACAATATATAGCTTTTGTTTTTGATGTCCCGGTCATAGTTATATTCAAGTTCAGATTTGAAAGAGCCATCGTATCGTGTTCATGCCACTCTCAATACATTTTGTAATTTATAAAGCAAGCATATTGTATTTATCACAAATGATCACATATTATATATTCATATACATAGGGGTGATGCTCATCTCTGTGATGTGGCAAGTTCGTAGTAGTGTTTAATAGATCTGAAACTCCTACCTAGTTTATCTTTACTTTTTCTGATATGAAGTGGTTTTATTTTTTTATTTGATTTGTTTTCTCCATGTGCTTTAGATTAGATTGACTGGATAGATAACGTGTGTTGATATTAATTATCTGTATTTGTTTCGTATCTATTTATATTTTTATATTTATAAAACACAAATCGCTCAGCAATTCTAAAAGTGATATATGTCTTTTACATATTTTTTTTCTTTTATCAAAATAAATTAAATGTTTATATTCTAATAAAATAATTTTTTTAATACTCATAAAATACAAGTCAGTTAACAATTCTAAGATTAACATGTGTCTTTCACAATTTTTTCTCTTTCATAAAAATCAGTTAATATTTTATTTTAATAAAAAAAATTATAGAATAATTTAAAATTAGTAACTTTTCTCTCATTACTAACTAATATAGTTTCTATCAACCACAATCTCCATCTTTCCTTGATTAATTGGACAGAAACCAGAAAGATGAGGATTAAACATAATGCACATTATATAGCAGTTTTGGCAGAACGATATGACATTAACGCGGTGAAGACAAAGATGTTTCAGTCATATATTGTAAAGTTTGATATTGATGTTGACAAGTAAGTTCAACTATCTTCATCAACATATGAAACTCAATTGTTGTTTCTTTAATTATCTATGTGAATATATCTATTTTTTAGAAAATATTATATTTAGTCTTATATATTACATATATCCATTTCGGCGCCTCCTTTTGTTACGATGGAGTGGCATTACAAAAACAAAGTGTTTACGTTAGTTAATTAGCATTACTTAAAAAAATAATATTAATTATAAAATAATGAAGTTTTTTGTATCAAATAACTAATTGACGTAAAATGTATTTACCTTTTATTTTTATTTATTTATTAGTAATTAATTAAATAAATACTGAACAAAATAAAAAATTTCGATTTCTGATTTTCGTCACAAACAACATCAAATCTTCTGAATTATCTCGATCATCTTCTTCCACCTCTTCTTCATCGTTCTTCTTCATCTACTAATTTCAAATCTTCTTTTTCTAGCAATTTCATCTTCCTGGATCTTCTTCTTCTGGCAATTTTATCTTCTTCTTCTCAATTTTATTGGGTTTTCGGTGCTCTCGATCGCTTTTCGCTCACAACAGCTTCCGTCGCTTTCATCTTCCTGGCAGTTGCATCATTCGTCGATCTAGATTTGTTGCCTGGTAATCTTTGATACCTTACTTAATTACGAGAAATTTATCATGAAACCTCAAATAATTCCTTGCTACGAATGTGAACAATCTATGTGTTGGCTTCTCAGGCATTGATTCAAAGACTATATTATGAAGTTGCCTGTTCATTCTTACTGAATTAGGTTGTGATGTTAAGCACTAATTCATATTCTGTAGCTGACTCTCATGTTCTATAGCTGAGAAACTGAAACGAAGCAGAAACGAAACCAGCGTCGATTTTCTCTAAATTTACTCACTAAGTAATGATCTTAATCTACTAGCTAATTAGATGATTGGTTTTAGATTACTCGATTTCTTTGAAGTTACTCTTTAAGATATTTGAAAACAGGATATTTAGATTGTTATGTGTGATCAATTTCACCAAAATGAATGATTATTTATGTATTTTCCCATTTTTGTAAAGCTTCCTCAAGTGATTTCATCTCCGGATACTCATACAGCTTATATTTCAACGCCACTCAGTAAGGTCAGTTTTCGCATTGATTTAAATAAGCTGTATGATTATGTATTTGAGAATTGTGAATAGTTGTGAATAGTTTGACTAAATGTGAATAGTTGTGAATGGTTATGTATTTGAGAAATGTGAATTATTGTGAATAGTTTGACTAAGCTGTATGGTTATGTGTTTGAGAAATGTGAATAGTTGTGAATAGTTAAACCAAATCATTTGAGAAATTTGATAATTGTGAATCGATTATATGGTTATATTGTTAAATGTGAATTGATAATCGATTATATTGGTTTGAGTTAGAACAATTAGAGGATATGAACTCCGTACTCCTCAGTGCCTAAGCAATGATGAGGTACAAGAAGCACGCAAAGAGTTGATTAAGGTATGCTTATATAAAACTCATCTTCTTGAGTGCTCTTATAAGTTTTTGTGCATGGGGTTTCACATGTTTTATAAGTCCTGTATTTTCGTTTCTTCATGCAGGGATTGAGAGATTTACTAGTTAATGATGGAACAACGATCAAAGTAAAGAGGATGGGAGAAGTCGATGAAAAGCCTTTCATGGAAGCATGCCAGCAGAGATTCAGTAGCCAAAACGTTGAGATGGAGCACACCATGCTTTTCTCCAAGTAGAAGAAAACCATCAAGGATCTAGCTTGGTACCCATTCAAACGTGTGGAGACTGGAGAAAAAATGAAGGTTTTTGCATATATATTTAATTATTCCATTCGTTTTCTTTCTCTGTCCCATTATACTACATGTCTTGATTCTTGTGGATGGTGCAGGAAGTTGTGGATGAAGAAGATGAGAAACTTAAGAATCTGAGTGAAGAGTGGGGAGCTGTGTCCAAGAGCATTCTGTACTTTAGCGTCACTCCTCTATACAAAGTAGACAGCAAGCTTTCATTTGAGAAGCCATGGTGTGGGCACTGCAAAGTGTAAGACTTGAACCGCTCCCAAGCTTCAGTAAATGTCTCATTTCCATGCTGAGTAAAGCTGCTTATAGTGTTCCTGAGCTTTGCTGTTCTTGTTGAGCTGAAGAATTTGTTGAGGAATGCTGTCTTGCACTCATTCCATGTAGAGATTGAACCTTGTGGAAGTGTCTTCTCCCACTGATGTGCTTTGTCACATAAACTGAAAGGAAACAAGCGCAGCTTCAAAGCATCTTCAGAGACTCCTTAAATCTTGGTCATACCACACACCTTATCAAACTGGTCAAGATGATCCAAAGGGTCTTCATTGGGCAGGCCATGGAATATGTTGCCTTGCACCATGTTGATTGATATGCTCATATTAACACTCAGAGCTACTGTGGTAACCCAACCCGGTAAACTGTACCGCGGCTGTGTCCCACTACATCCTAACAGTCCGTTTCTATACTTAGCCATATTTTTAAACTTTTTCCTTTATTCTTATTCTTTCTTATCAATACACAGCGAAATGTAAAACAACTCATCTTATTTATTTAACTTTCATAAAACACTTAAACATGATTCATGATTATCAGATACCAAAGCACAAGGTTCGCTAACAATTACAAATGATCATCTAGCAACCTAACGGTCAAACACCAAAGCCATAAGACAAAGCACAACGTCTTAAACATAAATAAAACCCAGTCCCGATCCATCCATATCCATCACTGCGGCCTGGTCTCGCCCCTTTTACTGCTTAGTACCTACACACTCAAGGAGAGAGGCATAAGTATTTCATAAATACTTAGTGAGTACGGTCATCCCGTAACACCTGGTCAGTACCAAACACGCAATCATACTTTCGGATTCAACATTCAACACATTCAATTCGCAATAGACATAACAATATCAAACGGCCATGATCATCTAACTTAACCAACCAAGTTTAATCCCTTTTTAAGACCCATGTCTACTTCAGTGAGAATCCCACATCCCCTAAGCTAGTACATGATCCGGATTACCCTGAGGTTAGCTAGACATCATCTATGCCACGGTAAACACCATAATATATCATAACATACGAATTGCTTATCAGTTCTAACACATAACATGAAAATCACACAATCAACATGCAAACATTCAACCCTAGTAATCCTACGGTCCTAGACACCAACCACAGTCACGCACTCACCTTAGACAAGGCTGGAAACAGATTGATCAGAAGAAATTCCGAAGAAAACAGCACCAAAACGAAGATATCCGATCTCCTTAAGAATCTCTCGGCTGTCCGTACGATCTGATCCTTGTCCCCTCGGCTATCTCTCGATCCGTTCACCTTTCTTCGAACCAAACTCTGTTTACCCTCGAAAACCCCACAAAACAAGGCTATTAGCTCGAGGTTATCCGATGAAAACTCAACACTTAGGGAAATATCCGATCGCTTACCAGTCTATCTCGGTGATGGTCGGATCTGCTCGGCGATAACCTGATCTCTCTCGGATGTCCTCGGGATAAACTGTTTTTCTTAGGGTTTTCTCTCGACTATTCTCTTTCTTTGCTTTATTTCTCTCGAATAAACACAACTCTCCCGAGAAAAGTCTCAAAATCCCTTATAAACTCGCAAAACCCTAGATAACCCGGACTTATCCGACGTTTTCCTGGTTCCAGTAAGTTTTACCCCGGTCCGATTCGATTCTCTCGGCTATTCCCTGTACCGGCTCAACCATCCACTCGATAAACCACAAAATAGCCGATCAAACACTTGGCCCACGGTCCAAATCCTTTCCCACTCGGATAAACTGCCCTTATCCGAGGTGTTTTCCAATTTTCACCCGGATTTCCTTTTCTCTCGGACAACACGTCCCACCTCGGCTAATCTTCTATTTCTCTCGGAGCTTTTCCTTTTTTCCTCGGAGACAGTCCACTGACACTCGGACTAACCTCCCAGACCCTCGGATAAATCCCACTGCACCGGGATAAACCCCATTTCCCACGGACTGGACCCTGTTTCCCTCGGATATGGTCCGGCCGGCTCGGCTATCCAGCCACCACCCGACTATTCCCTCGGTCATCACCCGACCATAGTCCGAACCTCCCTTTCCCAGCTAATATCCGACCCTTGGCTCGGTCATTCCTCGGACAATGCCCTGTCCGATACGATCATTCTGAATTTTCTCGGATACGGATGCTGCAACTCTCCCCCACCCGATCTGGATTCGTCCTCAAATCCGACTCATCCGTTTGCAACTTGTCAAACCATTTAGGATACTCAGCTTTCATCCTAGCCTCATTTTCCAAGTAACCTGTTCCTGTCCGTCGCAGTCCCATACGACCTGAACCATTCTTACCAGCTTCCCATGCTTAGTCTCTTCTTTCCGATCTATCACCTGAACCGGTCTAGCCACTACTGCAAGGTCCTCTTGCAAGTCTGCTGGTGGTTACTCTATAACCGTTTCCCGTTCGGTAATGTGCTTCCTCAGCTGCGACACATGGAATACATTGTGGAACGCTCCCATTTCTGATGGCAAGTCCAACTTGTAAGCCACTGCGCCAACTCTCTCCAGTATCCGGTACGGCCCCATGTACCTCGGATTCAACTTGGCACTCTTAGCTGCCCTGTCCGTTCCCTTATAAGTCAGTGCCTTAAGGTAAACCATATCACCCACACTGAACTCCAGATCCCTGCGACGCTTGTCCGCATAACTTTTCTGCCTGTCCATAGCCTCTTCCAGCTTAACCTTTAACAATCTGATCTTTTCTGTAGTAGCCTCGACCACTGCTGGCACCATTACGCTACGCTCCCCCACTTGTGTCCAACACAATGGTGTCCTGCACGGCCTGCCATACAACGCCTCGTACGGAGACATCTCTATGCTCCTTTGGTAACTATTGTTGTATGCAAATTCAGCCAACGGTAAGTAGTCTTCCCAACTACCGCCCCAGTCCAGTACACACGCTCTCAACATATCCTCCAATGTCCTGATCGTACGTTCTGATTGCCCATCAGTCTGAGGATTATACGCTGTACTCATATGCAACCGCGTCCCACACGCTTCCTGGAACTCTTTCCAGAACCTCGAAGTAAACTTCGGATCACGATCTGAGATGATACTCACTGGCACTCCATGCAACTTCACGATCTGATCAATATACATGTCCACCAACTTTGGTACTTCATCCGTCTTTTTCATTGCTAGGAAGTGAGCAGACTTGGTCAGACGATCCACAATGACCCATATCGCGTCATGCAACTTCTTAGTCTTAGGTAAACCCAGTACAAAGTCCATGGTAATCATGTCTCATTTCCATTCCGGCATTGGCAACGTTTGCAACAAACCACTTGGAAACTGATGCTCTGCCTTAACCAATTGGCACGTCTCACATCCGGCTACCCACTTAGTCACATCTTGTTTCATCCCAACCCAATGATAGTACCGTTTCAAATCCTGATACATCTTGGTCATTCCCGGATGAACAGAAAACCTTGACTGATGTGCCTCTTTCAAGATCTCATCCCTTAACTCCTTCACATCTGGAACACAGACCCGTCTGTTCACAACAATGGTCACATTGTTTAAAGTCTGATATTCCGTCTTATCATTCTATGACACTTTGTTCAAATTCTCATCCTGCTCCTGCTCCCGAGCAATCCGAATCCTAGTCAACAAGTCAGCTCTATCCGCAGCTTCCAGACCCAACGGTTCAACCCCTTCTGTTACTGCATTCAGCTGCAATGTCCGTAGCATGTTCACAATGCTCCCAACATTCTGTTCAGATGATACGCTAGCCCTTCTCCTACTCAACGCATCCACCACCAAGTTGGATTTTCCTGGATGGTATGCTATCTCCAAGTCATAGTCCGCTACCAACTCCATTCATCTACGCTGTCTCAAGTTCAAATCCGGTTAAGTAAAGATGTACTTTAAACTCTTATGGTCCGTGTATATCTGCACCTTCTCCCCATACAAGTAAGATCTCCATATCTTAAGTGCAAATACCACAGTCGCCATTTCTAAATCACGTGTAGGGTAGTTTCCTTCATGCTTCCGTAGCTGCCGCGAAGCATAAGCTATCACCTTACCATTTTGCATCAGAACACACCCTAGTCCTTTCCTTGATGCATCCGTGTATACCACATATGGCTCACCCGATTCTGGTAATGCCAATACTGGTGCACTAGTGAGTAACTCCTTTAACTTTGAGAAGCACTCTTCACACTCATCCGTCCAGACATACTTCACGTCTTTACCAGTCAGCTTTGTCATTGGCTGAGCCATGCTTGCAAAACCTTTGACAAACCGCCTGTAGTAACCAGCTAGTCCGAGAAAACTCCTTATCTCTGTAGCGTTCTCTGGCCTAGGCCAATCCGCAATAGCCTGAATCTTCTCTGGGTCCACGGACAATCCCTTATCCGAAACAATGTGACCCAAGAACCCTATATGTCGTTGCCAAAAGCTACACTTACTGAGCTTGGCATATAACTTCTGTTCTCTCAACTTCTCCAGAACAGTCCGCAAATGACTCATATGTTCTTCCTCATCCTTAGAGTATACTAGAATATCATCTAAGAAAATGATCACAAACTCATCTAGGTACTGATGTTACTGCATATTACATACATTTTTCATACTCATTAGTTAGCTTTTCATGCATTTGTGTCACGTTTTAGGTTAGATTGCATCACTTAGAGTCCTAGAGCATTCTTGCACCAGCATACGCA